AGTGTTTCCAGTGTGTTTGTTATTCATGCTGCCACGATTGTGGGTGTATATCTATTTCTACTTTGAATTCTCCTGTGTAGACCTTTTAGTAGGTTTGCTGAATCAGATGTTAAACCTATTAATGTTTTTCATAGTGATCGCACCATTTCCCATCTCTTTCCAAATGCACAGGAGCTCAAGTTCTCCATCTTTAGCAACATTTATTGTTTAAAGAAACAAACAAACAAGAAACTAATGAGTATAGAGTGGTTTTGACTTTGCTATACTTGTATGTGTGTAGTGTGTCTACCTGTTCCTGTGGGTGCATAGAACCTGTTAAACAGTGGGGTGCCTTTCTCAATTATTTTGACCCAGTCTTGTTGAAACAGTCTCTCACTGAATCCAGAGCTCATCTGTTCAGCCAGGCTCTCTCTGTCTCCATCTCCCAGGCTCCAGAACTCCATGTGCGCCACCATGTTGCCCCTCCACCCTGGGTTCTGGGGGTCCAAACTTGGTTACTCATGCTTTCTCAGCAAGCCACAGGCCACCACCCTGCCCCTCAGCTTCACTTGGGCATGCATTCACTCAGAGTGGCTTTCACCACTTTTTGTTGCATTTCTCTTTAGAGTCCTAAAGATGTTTCTCAAGTCCCCGCCACTTAACAAAGCCTGGAGTCACAGCAGGAGTGGCAGGGTTAGAGGGTAGCATGTTCAGTGCCAGGGAGTCTGCTTCCCACATTACATTTGGTGTGTGGTGACCACAGTGGAATCCCATGCATGCCTTCCTTGCTGCATTCTGCTTCACTTTTTTTTTTTTTTTTTTTTTAAGATCTTGCTATATGAGAAGCAATAGGCATGTAACAGCATCCACTGCAGGGGCTTCAGCAAATGGGGATGCCCTGGTGAAATTCCTCAGAGCTCCATGGCAGTGCTTCTCAGACAAGCAGCATCCTTGTCAGCCATAAAACTTGCTAGAGAGACAGTGTACCAGACCCCTCCCCCAGTGATCCTGATGCTGGGACTTGAGAAGTCCTGCCTCTTGGGATGTAAGTTAGTTGGAAGCCACCTGAACAACATTTATTTTATGGTGAAATTATAACTTATTGGGCATAGTGGCTCACAACTGTGGTCCCAGCACTCACAAGGCTGAAATAGGAAGATGATGATCACCAAGAGTTTGAGGCCATCCTGGGCTACATGGTAGGTTCCAGGTCAGCCTGAACTACAGAGCAAAGCCTACCTAAAGCAAAACATGTCCTTTAGTTACAGTGAAACTGTGGAAAGACAAAGAAGGACAATATTCTTAAAGCCTGTACTGCAGAATATTGTATTGGGGAAATTTGAGGGGAGGGTATGACAGGCAGGGGATATGCAGAGAAGGATAAACGTGCACCCATCCTAAGAGCTCTGGTAGTTCCTAGGTTTTGGGCAGGAAGGACATTGAAGTTACTCTCTGGTTAAAAACTGGTTTTCATTATTAAAGTGTCTGTCACACTAATGAAATGCATGCTTGATGTTGCCTGTGGGTGACCTTCAGGCCTGTGGAGTAAATAGAGGCTTGAGGGTAGAAGATAATCTGTGTAAACACAATTGGTGGAAACACTCCAGTCAGTTTTGACTAAAAATGGGCTACGTCAGACAACCAGGGCAAGTGGAGAACAGCAAGGATATTAATCATTACAGCCCATTTTACCTCTCACACATTGGTTCTTCATTTGGGGATCAGTGAACTCTTCTGTAGACAAAGGATGTTTACCCTGCTGATGTAGAAAAAAAAAAAAAAAGATATCCATTTCCCAGATGAAAAGATCTGGGGATGTAGGGTTTGACAAGAAGCCAGTAGACTGCCCTCTCTTTAGGATGGAGGGCATATCAACATTAAGTCCAGCCTAGAGATGGCGGAGCTCAGTGGGCCCCAGACCAGCATCAGGGGCCGTCATCTGGGGACTTTACAAGGGAGGTGCTCAGGTCAGCTCCAGAAACAGAAACCCAGGGCAGAACCTGGCCATATAAGAAGAAAAGAAGAAGAAGAAGAAGAAGAAGAAGAAGAAGAAGAAGAAGAAGAAGAAGAAGAAGAAGAAGAAGAAGAAGAAGAAGAGGAGGAAGAAGAAGAAAGATCCAAAATCTAAAATACTTGTGGTCTTAAACATTCTGAGAGGCAGTCGGGACCTGTAATATGAAGGGATGTCTACTGGTGTAGCTCATTTTCAGGTTGCCTGAGGAACATCTCCTCGATTTGAATTAAGAACACTCCAGACTCCTGGCACTCCTGCTTAGCATAAGTTGATTGTATGTCCTTGACTTGACAGTTTCCGCTCAAGAAGCCCATGAAATTAAAATCCCCTTCCCCGATGCAAGATTTTACTGCTGTGTCCTAACAAGCCCACACACGTCATGGTGTCAAATTAAGGATCTCAGCTGAAAAGCAAATTTCCCTGTTTGGAAAGTCCTATTAATTAACAAACACCAGACACATCAATGCCTACTACAGTCATCCCCAGTTAACGCCCCTGAAAACAAGGCTTCGTTGACATGGTTGGTTAAAGAACCATCAGAGTAGTCTGGCTCCTGGCAAGCTGACACAGGGAGGGTGCCCCATCTTAGCTCAGAATAGATGTACTTGCAGAATATTAATAGTGCAGAGCCTGGAACTAAAATATAGTCCCCCTCACCAAAGAGAACCTGGGACCACTGGGAGACGGTTGAATAGCTCACAACTTGTGTGTGTTCTTGTATGAAACTGATGACTGCCTGGAGACCTTAGTGCCCGTGTCTAGGCTTGTGACAGTGTGTGCCTGTTGGGTAGTACCTGTTGCTCACTTTCCAAGTGGGCCACAGAGAATACCAAGGCTAACTTATATCTATCTGTAGCTATCATGGTTATCAGGTCAATGGTAGGGATACTACTGGTTACATTGAAGTTTAATACTGGCATCAGAAGGCACTAGCCAGTGTTGCCAGCAATTTGAATATTCCCAAAAGGCATCAAACTGTAGTTTGCCTCATTCTTGGGCGTCTGGGAACATAATAGCTGTTGTAGATGGTGTTTATTTAGGCTAGGTGGCATACTTGTAACTTGTATCCAACTGTAACTATCTTGGTTACCAGGTCCATGGTTGGGATATCATATCACTACATTCAAGTAACCATCTTTAATATTGACACTAGAAGGCAGGAACAGTGATCCCAAAGAAAGCAATCTGCAACTTGCAGCATTACTGGGGTTCCTAGAGCATAAAAGGGTCTGTGTGTTGTAAATGTTGTCCATGGGGACTGTTGGCATGCTCACCTGTGACATCAGTGTCCATAATCCTTTGAAGAAAAGGTCAGGTTCTGTGTCTTACCCACCCAGGGGTTCATGCATGGCCCTGATACTAAAAACCTATACCCTGAGGCCCATCTCTTGCTGGGCCTTCTCCCAGCCATCCAGCCCTGGGCATAGCATGGAAATATAACAAATTCAAACTGCTATTAATTGTCATTCCTTTCTCAAAGCATCAGTGGCTGGTGGGCAAGCCTGCTGCCCCAGGCTCCTATCCTAGAATGGCCAATGGCAAGCATGGACTTCTTGTCTGCAGTACTTGCCCACCCCATCAAATAAGCCATGGGGCTTTGTGACCTTTGCATAGAGGACCTGATGGAAAAGAGGGCTAGATACTGGCTCCTGAGAAGCAACAAGTCCCCAGGGATGGAAAAAGCAGGAGCAGACTTGAAAGGTCCTGTCATGGGTGTGGCCTTACCGCTTCAGGGTGAGCCCTGAGGTGCAGCCTGATCCTGCCTAGGCAAGCAGGCTTTAGAGGGATGTTAGAACTTTTGAGAACATCCTTTAGGGAATGGCTAACCAGTGGACAAAGGACAGTTCAAGAACACTGTAAGTGGAAGTAAAAGGGGTCCAGGAGTGTGAGTCTCTTCACTTCCTCCTGAGCCACACTACCTCTTTAGTGCCACAGAAAAACCAGTCCTCCTGTCTCTACAATATGTCCCATGCACACTGCCTGCAAAATCCTGCTGCCCATAACTTAGTTTCAGCTCCTCTATCTGTAGAGGCCTTTCCTGGCTCCATCACAAGTGTGCAAATATATCACAGCAGTCACCTGTTTACTCGTACAGAGTCACACACATGGATGTACACACGCTTAATATCTCTATTCACTCTTACCCACAACTTTCACAAAATGCACGACTCCTTCATACACACAAAGCACACAGCTAAAATTGTGTCTCCCAGCTCATGAGCTCATGAAGTTCCCTTTTTCTTTATAGAAGGTAGCACAGTTTGCAGTCATGGACTGACCTCCATGCTTGCCCTCCTTACTGGTGTCCTTTAAAGAGTCACATGCCCATATGCAGGGCAAGGGCTGCCTGGCATGCAGTCCACATTAAGTAAACATTGACCCAATTGATACCTCCACTCAGTGCCCTTCCTTTTGGCTTTCAGTAAATGGACAGAATGGCCGATTTTACTAAAAATACTAGCATATGCCAAAATATACTCAGGTCAGTAAGGAACTGAACTCATCACAGATTTTAGACTTTTCTCATTGAAATCTGTGCTTGAACCACCATGGAGCCATCTCTGGGACATGGCAAACTGTTTAAAACACACCCAAGCTGTCCACTGCCTTGACGGTATCTATTGTTTAAAAAGAGTTTACATTCTAACAGAAATCGAAAGAAACAGTTCCGGTTTTCCGGTTTTCCCGCCTGCGTGAAAGCCGTTTTGAATAATTCCCAATTTGTCAGAAATGATTTGGGGAAATGGATATCTCGGGGTTCTTCTGCCTCAAGGTTGACCCCGCTGTCATTCTCTCTATAATGAGTTCCTGCTTGTCAGAGGGTGCATCTATCCCTCGAATCCATGTGAAGCAGAATTTCATGAGTGGTTGATTGCAAACTGGAAAGCCCTGGGCTGCAGGTCGGTCTAAGGACTGTGCTGCTCTGGGTGAACACAGTGCTTGCTCAGGCAGACCCTGGTCTCCACGGTGCTACCCTGCTGATAACTCCCGTTTGCTTCCTCCCCAGCCCAGTGACTTCTCTGTGTCTCTCAAAGCGTCAGGGAGGAACAAGCACTTCAAGGTGCAGCTGGTGGACAGCGTCTACTGCATTGGGCAGCGGCGGTTCCATAGCATGGACGAGCTTGTGGAGCACTACAAGAAGGCCCCCATCTTCACCAGCGAGCACGGGGAGAAACTCTACCTCGTCCGGGCCCTGCAGTGAAGGCAGCCGTCAGCCTTTCCATGCCCTGCCCGCTGTGGGCCTCGCTGCCACCTCCGCCTCCTAGAGCCCAGCGGTGCCAGCCACCTCCACCCACGCAGCCTGGATCACCTCCGTGGCCCAGTGTGTTCTCTGCAGCCCTGTTGGTCCAAACATAGCTACCCAGGCCCTCATAGCCATGCCCGCGGCCACCACCTTCTGGCCACCTTCAGGTGGTGAGGGTCAAAGGGAGCAAAGCTGCTCACTTTTTTCCTTTATAATTGGAAGCAGTCTGTTTAAATCTTACACACACACACACACACACACACACACACACACACACACACGCGCGCGCGCGCGCGCGCGCGCGCGCAGTAAAAGACTGAGGCTTATTCAGAGGGCAGAAAGTCTGTTATGTAGTGAATAGCACACTCTGAGAGCTGTGTCCACGGGTGCTTGGTGCCTCCCATCAGCCATGTTGGTCCAGGACCTGCATTTTTTATTTTATTTTTACTTTTTTTTGGCTCCAGGCTCTGCAGGAGTCCAAGAATGTGCGGATAGCAATACTGGAAACCCTGGGGAGATGGTGGTGAGGGAACTGCCCAGTGCCTTTGAGGCTGTGCTTGCAATAAAAGAGGGTTTTTTTTGTTTTTTGTTTTTTTGTTTTTTCTTGGTCTGCA